TTCTTTCCAAATCCTTTCTTTTACCGCTTTCATTTATCGCTTTTTGATTGTTGCATTGCACGTTTAAAGCTTTCATCATGTAGATAGTTTACTTATAATCGTTCTAATAAATAGGGGTAGTTTAGTAATTTTACGCTATTATTTATGAAATAATCCGTCATAGGGAACCCGAAAGGGGCGTTGTGGGGTGCTAACACCTTCCCCACACGTAATCGACTCCCTTACCCAACTCTGGTTGTAATGGCCAAAGTTGATTTGCGAAAATCAATTACCTTATGTCTTTTTCCAATGTTTTAAGTAAAACATTGGTGGCGACTCCAAGAACCCCTTTTTGCGAAAACCACTAATCCATGGAGGGTCCCGTTTGGGATTAACACGGATTGGTGAGAATCATTTAACAAAATTGTTAGTTCGATGAGGTCTCAGTTTTAGAATAAGTCGTTCTGACAATCCATCATTTTTCAAAACTAAAAAAAAGAGAGTCCAACCATCGTCGCGAATGCCAATGTCCGTTTCGGCGGGTGGCGACAATAACAACCTGTGTTGAAACAGTCCGTTTCAATCTAGGGTTTATAGGCCTTTTTAGTAGTTTAGAACAGCCCGTTCTAGGCTACTAAATCTCCCTTATTGGGCTTTGAGCCTTCTACTGTCATATCATGTTGTTTTCCCAGGCCTCGGGAGCTCCTTTCTTTGATAATAGAAGTCTATTTCTTTGTTTGTATGCTCGAGATGAAATTAGGTGTCTACAATATTTATACAAAATATCAAAATAATTTCTAAAATACCTTCATATAATTTATGAAAATTGGGGTGTTACAATTATTCATCACTATTTTAAAAATAAACAAGTAAATCATAATTACTATTATTTTAAAAAAAATGTACTGAGAATATAATATTACCACACTTAATTAATTAAAATATATTTAATATTTTATTAAGAAAATTTGGGATGTTACATGAGAAATCATGTTGTTTTGGATTACTATCCAAAATTGATTGTTGATCTAGTAGGTGTAAGAAGATCGTATTGGTTCAGTAAGGTCAAGACACTTATACTACTCATATTTATTGTAGAAAATCTCCATATGTGAATGCACGACGATGCATGTAGTTGATGTGACACTTGTTATATGCCCCAACATGTAAAGAAATTAAAATAAGAAAGAAATCCATTTATAACTGGAGTAAAACATGTTCACGTGTAATTTACCTTTGAACATCCAATCAAATGAATATAATTATAGGACATAAAGTCATCAATAGTGTTGTTTAAACAAGAAAGAAGTAGTAAATCAATTTGAAATATAAATTCTTATTTTAATCCTGTTGTCTCGATGTCACATTATCAAAGCAAAGTCATCGCTTTAGCTCTCGAGACCTTGTGTGTCGACCTCATCACTTACACCATTACCTAAAATTAAACCACAATATATATAGGTGAGAAAAATAGTCAATCATGTGTGCAATTCAAGAAAATAATTCCACCCAACATAAAATCAACCCATATACAATTCATAATAATAACCAATCACGACATTGTTATTAATTCATAAATCCATCAAATAATATCACCATAACTACATCACAATACAGCTCATGCATCATGCTCGTGCTCACGTCAATACATATGCATTGCAACCTCTTAAGAAGCATCAACTTAGAGCATCGCACAATGGGCGAACTTTATCAATCTCCTTAGGCACCGCCACACATGACCACACCGTTTACATCACTTATGACCAGTGTCACACTATTAATCACCACTTATGGTTAGTGTGTAAATAATGCATCCCACATTGTTTACATTACTTATGACCAATGTCACACGGTTAATCACCACTTATGGTCAGTGTGTAAAGATGCATCCTTTGTTAATCACCACTTATGCCCAGGATAAATGTGTATGCAACATGTACTCATGCTCATGTCATGTCACCTCATTCATTTGTCATTTTTATCCATGTCAATGCACAATTAATTATAAGCCACATCCGACCACATTTGTAATCAACTCATCCAAATACACATCATTCATACTTAATCATATAATAGTCATCAATGGACATCATATAATTCACAATCGTCATCGAAATTCATCAATATATAATATATCGATAGTCTGCATCGGGATTCACCCAACTCTAAGCTACAATAAAGAGCACACAATATTTTCATGCATAGCTTAATATAATTTCACCCAGCGTTACGAGCAGACAAAGAGCATCATGCCTCTTTCATGCCTAACGTCAGGGAGTCACACCCAGCACTAAGGCCAAAGAGAAACTCCCCAAAGTGGTCATGCCCAGCATGATACGTTCCACACCCAACTTAACCCCTTCTAGGCTTCACATTCATCAGTATGAATGCAAGCCCAGTGCCAAATGCATTTTCTAGAAACACAGCACGAACAGGGCATTACCAAAATTTATAAACAATCATGTAATCATCTTTTTACTACATCAATCGATCACAAACACTTATTTTTACACAAAAACACATCATACAACATTAATTCATGAATTCACATATCAATTAACAATATCCTAATTGCTCAAGAACCTTAACCCACAGATACCTTCCTATGAATTCAATTATCCTCCCATTACCCATTCTCTCTTGTAATCTCACATATGAATCACTCATTTCCTTCCTCGTAGCTTATTGTGATGATCTGAACAATTTGACGCAGTTTAGGACAATCTAAGTACTTCTCCTTAGAGCTCCTTCCTTCTCCTCCTTCTATCTCTTAGTCCTTCCAAAAATGCCAAATGAGACAGGTCAGGATAATTCTTCCTAACCCTTCTCCTAAAAATTCACAAAATCGGGTCAACTCAGCCCATTTACCCTTATCTCATTAAATTAAATAAATTAATAATAAAATAATTTTCCACTTGTAAAAATAAATAATAATTCTAACCATAATGTAATAACATTTTAATAATACTATTATTTTAGAAAATAGGATGTTATAGTTGAGGTATATGCATATGATGAGGTGTTTTTGTTCATATGCTTGTTGATCATATGGTTGAATGACATTGATGTGGTGGAATATAAAATTATCATATATTAATGAGTTACTTACTTTTGAAATACTGTTGAATGCCATATTGAAGTGCCATTGTTGTGTTGTTATGATGTAAGTCATGAGGTGTATTTGGAGTGGTTTACATGTATTGGTGTTGGTTGTATAGTTGCTTAAAATTTTGTACATGTTATATGATTATTGTTTGTACATTAGCTTACCCTTACATATTTCTTTGGACTATGATGATCATGCTTATATAGGAGCAGAACAAGGTTAGATTGAAGGCTTTTGGAGTGTCAACAACCAAGTTGTTAGCAATATAACTTGATGCTACTTTTGTTTTGGTTGTTTTGTAGTGTTGTTTGATTGACAACCTAGGTTCATATATTTTATTTTTTAAATCATTGTATATACAAATATAATTGTATAGTATTTTTAGTTGTTGGCAAAAAATAGTTATACATATATATATATATATATATATATATATATATATA